TGGGTGCTGCTTGCAGGATGCAGAAAACACAGCCCAGGTAAGAGCTGAGCCCACAGCATCAGTACCTGATGGGAAGGGCACTGGGATTGAGGGAATCAATACACAGATGAGCTGATCCAAGGCTGGAGAAATCCCTGGGCCCCTTTGATGGGAAGCTGATGAGTGGGAGGCAGGGCTGAGATGGATCTGGCTGACTTGTCTGATAAAAACCTCTCAGTATTGTTTTCCCTCGATTTTGGCATTCTTCCCCCAAAACAAAACAAAACAAAACCAAACAGAGTGTTTTTCTGGAACATTTGTTTTTTGTTTTTAAAAGCATTTGGTGTAAACCTCATTTGAGGGAGTGATCATAGCACAGGAGAAAATTAAACAATATAAATAACATCTGTGTGACACGAGCTCTGCTATCAGAGCTAATGCCAAATGATGCTGGGAACTCCCAAACATTGATTCTCTGAGCTGGAAAGAAGTTGCAATATTTCTCTGAGCCTGCAAATATGCAACATTTAAATAACTATCTGTGCTAATCTAGCATAAATAATCCATGGGATTATTCCCATTATTTCCAGGAGAATGGGAAGGAGTTGATACCAACCTGCACCTCCCAAAGAAAAGAGAGGAGGGTGAGGATGGGTAAGAGAAAACTGAATTTAGAAGGGCAGAAATCTCACACAGAGTTCCAAACTGCAGCAATGTAGAATATTCCTGTCAAATTCCACCTTCACAACAACATGGAGAACTTTCCTGCTGGCTGAGGAGGTTTGGTGCAGACATATTAATGCAGACCTGGTTTGGCTCTATTTTTTTTTTCCCCACCAGCAGCTCAGGAAGGTCAGCTGAGGTGTGCACAGAGTCCTCCTGAATCCTGGTATTTGGGATGATGGGAATACACAGCCACTAGTGTGTGTTTTATTGGATCAACTGGCATTGCTGGAAATATCAGGCAAACTTTCAGGTATGCAAGCCCTTATTCAGGTCTGAAATAGAAGCAGCAATTTTCAGAGCTAAATACAAGCTGAGAACAAACGCTCAGATGTTAATTAGGTATGTATCAATTAGGCCTTTGTTTAAAGGAAATGTATTTGGGAGCTGTGGAGAAGAAAGGATGGGGAAGAGGGCGGAAAATGAGAGACAGAGAAAGTTAAAGTAAAATGAAGCTGCTTGTCACCTGGGGGGAGGAAGAGGCAGGTAGTTTATAGCCTGGGGAACAAGAGTCAATCGTGCTGAGTGGGAGGAGAGTAATCATAAAAGTCACATCTACCGAGTGCATGCTCCTCCAGATCAAGTGGCTTTATGAATTTCAATGCTCAGCCTCATCTTTAGGAGGGGTTTTGGAGGCTGTTGGGAAGAAAAGTACTGAGATACCAAAGGTGTTTGGGGAGCTGTGCTCTCCCCTTGGAAGCTGAGGTGGGCTGGGTTTTGTTATAACTTGAAAATATGAGCCCACTTTGGTCTATCCTGATTGCTCAATTTTGCTTACACAATTACCATGAGGCCACTGGATTAATTTTATGGTGTTGATGGGAATGTGGGTGTGGGATTTAGAGAAAATCAGAGAGAGGGAGAGTTGGGGGTGGGCCTCATTTCCCCACTTCGAATGGGGAAGATCTGCTTGGGTGGAGAGTGAGGGATGAAAAAATGAGATATCTCTGACACTTTAAGGAGACTTAACCCTAGACACATTCCAATTTTCCATGCGTTTCTGCTGGGGGATTTGGTAGGAAGCTGTGTTTTTCCTGCCTCATGCAGGATGCTTTTGAGGAAAGGGATGGTGAGCCCTGCAGCCAAGGAGCTGTTCCCATCTATGTCACTGGGAGGCCCAAATCCTCAAAAATGCTGCATTTTAGGTTAGCATCGCCATATATCGTACATTCTACCAAATAAATATTGAAAATAGAGGCTCTGTTCAATCAGATCAGTAAGAAACCAAATGTTCAGTCAATATTGTGAGTACTCCTCAGTAAGAGTTCATCTGTTGATTCCACTCAGCCCACACAAACCTGAGGTGCATTCTGTTGAAACAAGAAACCTCCCTGTGAAGCCAAGTGTTATTTTTAAGTGGCTTTGTATTAAAGGTAGCCTGAATTTTCTGTGAAATACTAAACTGGTGAGACAAGTTTAGGAAACCTTACTGTGGCATGAAAGAAATACTGTTTATCTTCAATGCATTTGTTCCCCAAGTATACAAGCACAGAATTCAAATTAGAAGATTTTGTAAGGAAACATGGAAGGGTTTTATATTATCAAACTGTGCACAGTCTGTGAGCTGTAAAAAGCTGGATACTTCTAGATTACTAAAATGTCCCTCAAGTCATAATTATAAATCAATATGCATGCATACAAAAGATTGGTGTCTCCATAAAGTGCCTGAAATTCAATATTTTTAGTCTACTGTGCCTTCTGAAAGTGCCTGTATATTTTATATTCCCTGTGAGCTGAAAATTGTCTCTGTATTTTATGTATTGTTATTTGTGGAGCTCTATTTGCAAACATAAGCAACAGCTAGTACTGGAGATGATAAACAGGCTGTACAACATGCCCAAACAAACAAATCTGGAAGGAAATAAATGCCCCCAACCATAAATCCCAAGGACACGATGAGAATTTTTTTTTAACCTCGTGGCAGTGCTGTTAGGAGTGTTCCAGAGCTGTGTGGGATGCCTTCTTTGAGCTGGCAGGGAGGGAACAGAGCTCCAGCCTCTGGTTAATGTGCACGTTTCCATGGCTGTGGTACCTGTTTGTGCAGAAAGCTTTGTTTGCTGGAGTGGGTGAGAGGTGCAGCCAGGGGGTGTTCATCCCTCCTGCTGCTCTGGGATGTTCAGGGGCATTTTCCTGCTGGTTCTTGAGGAGGGTGTGGCACCTTGGAGCACTTTTCCAGCTGCCAGCAGGATGAGGAGCTGGAGGGTGACCTGGCTGGGCTGTCCCTGATGTCTGACTGGGGCAGCTCGGGGCTGGCAGCAGGGAAGGGGCTCCCACGTGGTTCCCAGGTTTGGAGCCTCACTAAGAATCCTAAAATGGTTTGGATTGAAAGGAATCGTAAAGATCATCCAGTGCCACCCCCTGCCATGGGCAGGGACACCTTCCACTGTCCCAGGTTGCTCCAAGCCCCATCCAGCCTGGCCTGGGAAACTTCCAGGGATCCAGGGGCAGCCACAGCTGCTCTGGGAAACCAGTTCCAAGTGACTCTCCACACTGCCAAAGAACAATTCCTTCCCAATATCCCATCCAACCCTGCTCTCTGTCAGTTTGAAGCCATTCCCTGTGTCCTGTCACTACAGTTCCTGATGAAGCATCCCTTCCCAGACTCCTTGGAGTCCCTCTTCAGGTACTGGAAGGCTGCTATGAAGTCTCCAACTGATGCCTCAGGTTAGAGCTTTTCTATTTTTATGATTCTGTGCTGCTTTAGGGTGCAATTCTGAGCTTCATATTATGGGATGGTGAGCTCTGTGCACAGAGCAGGGAGACAAAACAATTCCTGCTCCAGCTGGGCACCAAGGACAAATGATCCAAATCTCAGCCCAGGAGCACAAACAGCGTGGGCTGGAGAGAGAAAAACAAGCAGGATGGGACTGCCTGGGCTAAAGCTGGAATGGGACAATGAACTCCAAGGTGCCAATGGAGCAGAACTGATAAAAGCTAGAGATCCTGGTCATCCATTTTTTGTGTTTTCTGAGCTCAATTTTGGGTTGTGCTGCCCAAGGTAGATCCATGGAGGCCTCTTAATAAATCCCTACTTTATTCTTTAACTCTGTCCAGCCTCTGATCTAGAGCAGCCTTCAGAAGGCATCACAACCTTCTCTTCTCAGACTGTTCACTCATCAGGAATGCCAGGGAGCCTTTTGGCCCAGCCACAGCCTGCAAACCAATTTTGGGAGCACTGCTGGTGTCCTCTCAAGAGCCTCAAGCACCTGGGAATCTCAGTGGGGGCTCCCCAGCACAGAAATCTTGCTCCTGACACAGTCTGTGTCCTCTGACCCATGGCATCAACACAGAAATGTGTTTAATTAATGTGGAAGGATTCAAATTAGGTGGAAAAAAAGGTTTACTTCAGTTCTCGGTTGGCTGCTTTGCTGTGACACCAAATAATATCGAAGATAAGCTTGAAAATAAGGTCCTGGAGGTAAACAAAGGAGTAGAGCTTGAACCCTTTCCAAAATATATCCCAATGAATCAACACTTTCTAGTGGGAAACCACTGTCTCCATAGAGTTTAGAGATTATTTTTACTTCTCTGACAGCCAGGAGGGTTTGTTAACAATGCACATGAACAGAAAGCCAAAGTTCCGTGGTTTTTACCCACTTAGGTCACAGGCTGGTGTTACCCTGGGCCTCCCTCTCTGATGCAATGGACATTCCTCTAATAAATTGGATTTTTGGTTGTGTTTAGGTACTGTTTGGTTGCATTCAGCTACAGTGGTAACAAGCAGATGTCAGCAATAGGGATCCTGACATCAGAATAAGGTAGATGTTTTTCAACATGAGTGGTTAATTCCAAACAAGGATATTTTCGAGCACAATTTCAATATGCCACAATGTAAATTGCTTATATTTTTGTCTGTGCAACATTGTAAAATTAATTTCAAAGTTCCTCCTTAGGCAAACAAGATAGAAAGGCAGTAGATGGTCAGAATTTGAAACAGCTTTGTGTACAAACAGCACATGGCAGACCCCGCACTTGTTCTGACAGACTGGCTGAAAATGCCACCAGCAGCACAAAATCTGTCTGAGTTAAGGAGGTACCAAATGTTAAATGTGCAAAACAACTTCTCCTTCTTGAGTTCAGGTTTCAAATTCCTCAATTTTGTTGCACAGAGTGTCACTGGAAGGGATTTGAAGCAAGGGCTTCTTTCAAGAGCACGCGCGTCGGTTCGTACCAAAGATTAACGTGAGGCACACTGAATAATTCAGAATTCTTTGAGTGGGAAGAAAGAAGAGTACACTGAAAATATCTTGTTTTTCTGGAAGAAGTTTGCCTTTTCGTAAAAGAAAAAAAAAAAATAATAAGCTTGAACTTTTTTATTATGCAATAGAAAATTTCAGACCAAACATTTCATCAGTTTTAGATATGGTCCATGTGCTGGATCTGCTCTGCTGAGAAGTTGCTTTGGTAAAGTGCATTTCCCATGGTCATTATCAACTCTATCCCTGAGGAAAAAAACACTGTTCACACTGAATTCCAGAAATCACCATAGCTGTGACACAACTCAGCCCATAAGTAGAACAGAGACATAAAACATTCAAGCACCAACTCTTCAAAGTCAAGAGTTTAAAATCTACATTTTTCAGCTTAAGATATTTGAATTTCAATTTTTTTAGAAAAGGGTTTGTTGTTTTTTTTTTTGGCACATGGGTGTTTGGGTTTTATTTTGAAATGGAATGTTAAGGCAAATACTTCTCATAAAATAATGTATTGAAACGGAGAAATGTCATTTCTGATCCAAAGATAGTTTTGTTAGAAATTTTGAAGCAGCCCCGATGAAAACTGCCTTTGATTTTATTACAGAATAGGGATGGAAAAATGTTGATCTGAAAGTTCAAGATGATCAGCTGTACATAAAATATGTTTGAAAGCATAGATATTGTATTAACCATTATCATTATCATTAACCAGTTTTTCTGAAATAATAAATATCGTGCATTTCCAGTCCTTGATCTTGCTGTAACACAGCATTCCTGTCTGACAGTTTTGCTGATTTCCTTGAGACCCAAAACATGGATTCTTTTTCCACAGTCCCATCAAACTCATTGTCTTGAAAATTAGGGCAGACTATTAATTTCATTTATGTCCATTATTTTGCTGTGATATCATTACAAAGGTTGCAATTTTATTTCATTGCATGAGGGAAAAAAAAAAAAAGAAAAATAACTTATAAGTTAAACTGAGAGAACTGGTTTTAACCTTTCTCCATTGCATGAAGGCATCCAAACATGTGAAAAAGCAACTTCTTGGAGAAGTCCGTCCTACACGAGTGTCACATTCCTGATTTTCTTTGGGTTCACCAGATAATCAGTACGTCTTTGAGGCCGCACCTAGGGGAGAGCAAAACCAGTTAGAGAACTAAAAGAAATGCCAGAAAAGCAGTTCCTATGTGCTTGCCACAGTCCTACGAGGGTCTCAGGAGGTTACCTGCCAACCCCTCTCCCCAGAGCACGACAGCAAAATTAAATCTGTCACCAGCAGCCCACTCAAAATCCAAACACGAGGGAAAGCAGAACGAAACAAAAGCTTCGCATGCAACACGCTGCTGGCACTTCTGGGAATTCATGATCTGATCTTCTGCTGCCTGGGAACTTCTTGTGGCCTCTGCAGTCTGTGTGCTCTTAAGCAAAAAGTGATGTTGGGTCTTTCTCCCCTGGTTCTCTTAAAGAAAGCTGTTTAGCTGTAAAAAATCTGAATATTTGCCTTCCAAATCCATTAGAAATCACAGCACACCATCATTTTACGTGGCTGGAAGATCACTCTCAGCACTTGGTGTTTATCCCAGCCAAGTTTTTTTTAAACTTCCCAAGACTGCCAGGATTCCACCTGCTCTCACAGGCAGGATCAGAGCAGGGCAAAGGCTCAGCAGCCTTGGAAAGCCTTTCCCCATCTGAAACAAGTGCAATTCTCCAATCCTAATTACTTCTGTGCTTTTACACAATATCATTGGAGAGGAAAAGACAAGGAAAAACTCACTCTCAAATGCATCTGAGTAACAAAAACTGTGGGTTTTTTAATGCACTGGTAACACCTCCTCCTGCAATTCCTCACCTGGTCTCAAGCCCTTGGAAATTAAAGGAAATTTCACTGTTTGTCTCAGTGAAATGTTTTATCAAGGCAAACACAGTTCTCTAACTATTGACAAATTTTCCTGAGGTTTGTTTCTGGAGCATTAATCATGTACAGTCTGGACTGCTCTGGTATTCTTCCAGTATTTAACATCTTCAATAATGCATTTGGTACATATACATTATTGAATAACACATGGAGGCAAATGTTAGGTAATAAATGTGGACAACATGGCTCTGGTATTTAATGAGCCCCAGCACCACTGTGGGATAAATTTAACTATCCTAGAAGCATTTCACAAGACAGCTGCCTTCTGTTTTAAACACAACTCTCTTTCTCTACCCTCCCATCCCTTCTTGTTGCTAGAACATGCTGCTGTTTTCTAAATTTACCCTTCTTTACTGTTTATTTTTGCAGAGAGGAGAGGTACTTGGAGAAGTAACAGCATTGCCCGGCTCTGTTCAAGGACCTTTTCCAAGATCCCTCTGCTGCACTTAATTTCTTGTCCAAAGAACTCCGTGGTGTTAAGCAGAGGAGCTCTCTACTACCTCTCTCATCAAAATAAAGAATTTTCAAATAGAATGGGGGGAAAAAAATCTGAAAAAATGCCAAAGGCAAGTTTTATGTTTGTGGAAAGGAAATATTCCCACATATTGTGGTCTGTGAGAATAAACGATACTGAACCAGTAGCACACTGAGTAACCAAAAATTTTCAGAGGGGCTCAAGAACACCCTGTCTCTAAAACTCCCTGAAATGGGTCATGTTTTGTATCCCATGTTTAGCAAAATACTGAGGTGAGAATATTTCCCGGAACTTGCTGCAGAAAAATATTCTATTGCACCAGATTTGCTAAAGGAAAAAAAGACATTAATCAGAAAGTTCAGCCAGCAGTGTTGTGGAAAGAGGAAGTTTTGGGGCAATTGGGGGCAATGCTACAGGGGGGATTGTGTCCCTGAGCCCCACAGATGAGAGCCCTGAGAGCTGCAGAGCTGCCCCAGCCCTGTCCCAGCCCAGGAGGAGCTGGAGCTGCTGCAGAGAGCCCAGAGGAGGCTCCAGGATGAGCAGAGGGATGGAGCAGCTCTGCTGGGAGGAAAGGCTGGCACAGCTGGGATTGTTCCCCTGCACAGGAGAAGCTTTGGGCTGAGCTCAGGGTGGCCTTGCAGGGCCTGGAGGAGCCCCAGGAAAGCTGGAGAGAGACAATTTCCAGGGCATGGAGGGACAGGGCACAAGGAATGGCTTCACACTGAAAAATTCCAAGTTTAGATCAGATATTAAGAAAAATTTTCTCCCTTTGAGGTGGGGAGGCCCTGAAATAGAAATCCCAGAGCAGTTGGGGCTGCCCCTGGATCCCTGGCAGTGCCCAAGGCCAGGTTGGACACTGGGGCTGGAGCAGCCTGGGACAGTGGGAGGTGTCCCTGCCATGGCAGGGGTGGTAATTGGGTGATTTTTTCAATCATTTCCAACCCAAACCAGTCTGAGATTCTCTGATTTAGGTTTGTATATGATCCTGAACAGCAGGGAGCCAGAGGATGAACAGCAGCTGGATCCAGGCAGCCCTGTGAGAGCACTGGGGAAAGGATAACCCCACCAGGGCTCTTTTTCTTTAAAAATCCCCTCTTCTGGAAGGAGCCATCCTGCCCCTGTCTGTCATGGCAGTTCTCCTCACCACCAAAGCTGGAACTGAGCAGAGTTTGCTCCCAGGGTGGGGCTGACATCCATGAGGGTTCACCCTTGTCCTGCAGCATCTTTCAGAGTTATTTGCTTTAGAGCTACTTCTACTTCATCCTTACTGTGCTCCGGTATCAATTAATGAATAATTTCATTAATTTCAATGAGCTCATGCTGTTTGCTGGTTCATTTTCTGGGCAGCTTTCTCTGAAGCAGCAGAGCCTTCCTGAGGTTGCACTTCACTCAAACAGAGGCTGCTGGTCACTGACCTAAAACTCATTTGCTGAATGCAATGGAAGATCTCATACAACACATTAAAAATAATAATGCAGAGGAGGAGGACCACAACAACCACTTCATACTTACACCCTGAGCTGCTGGATCTCCTGCTTGGTTTTGATTTCAAAGCTGTTTCCTCTTTAGATTAATTCAGTGCTCTACTAGTCCTGCCAGTCCTAGTCTGAGGAAAAAGGGCTTCATAACTCATTACACCCTACAGATTGAAGGGGAAAAAACCCATGTCCAGTGGCTTGTTGCACAGCACAACATCATAGGAGCAAGTTCCTGAGGTGGTCCCCCCATCAGGAAGGATGTGCTAACATCAGCATTTCTTTTACATAATTTTAAATCTCTTTGTACTGTCAGCTTGGCATCCAGTTACCCATGGATATCTGACAGTCACATGCTTCAAAGCCTGCCTGTTGATTTATCATCTGCCTTGGGTGCCTTTTCACAGGGATTACTATAAAAGGATTATAATACTGGGAAAAGCTTCACATAGTTTGTTGGTCTGGTTGGGGAAACAGATGCAGCACAGATCTTTTCATCTCTTCCAGCTCTTCAGCCAGACAAAAAGGGAGCTAGCAACACATGGGTGACTCAGAAGGTAAACTGAGTGTGTATCATCTGGTTTCAGGGTTGAATCCTTCCATGGTGCTTTGAATACTGATCTTCAGTCAATGAAAGAAGGATTTCTGCTCTTACAAGCATGTTTCAGTCAGTTCTGCACCCCGTGTGACAGCAGTGATGTGAATGATGGGTCCTGTGAAATGGAACTCTGATCTCAACACTGAGCTGAAGGATGGCAGCTCCTCCAGCACTGATAAACTGGAGGCTTGCTATTAGCCAGCCAAAATATATTCAAGTCCAACTGCATTAGAACAAACTGCTGGCATTAATGTGGTAGGAGCGCTCCCAAATGTGACTTAATGCATCACGCACTGGGCTAGCAAAAACAGAACAAAAAATCAGGGGGGCAAAGCCACAGCTTTCTGGTTCTGAAGGTTATTTCTCACCCTGCCCTTAGTTTTCAATTTTGATTCTAAATTCACTTCTTTTACAGGGTAACACCCACCCCCATAAATTGTGGATACCCATAAAATAATGCAGATACATCATTACTTCATGTAACAAACCAGTTCCATCCTGTCAACCTTTTGGACACACAGCACATTTCACTGCCCATCAATACAGCCTGGAAATTCCTCCTTGTTTCTTTATGGGTTAATCCCACCCATATGCCTTAACTCCTCCCCTTCTCCAACAGACATTTGGAAGAAAAAAATCTGTAAACTGCACCTGCCATTTCTTTATCTGTATCATCAATATTTATTGCTCTCTTAATCAAGATATGCTAACCAATAGATATCATAACATGACATATCTGCAGTCCATTTCATCAGGAGGGGTAAAGTTGTTTGCTTTCATCGATTTCTTTTTCTATTTATTGACCTTTTAATTCAATTTTGATAGCTTAATTTTTCTTTCCAACAACCCTCAGCGTCGGAGCAGTTCTATATGGGGCAATAAATGGAGCTGCAATTCATCATTCATTTCCTTCTCAGTCTAAAACCACAAGCACAGCTAAATAATATTTCCAGTTTATAGAGTGTCACTTGGAGTAGTTAAGAAGAAAAATAGATCCTTCCCCATTAAGGGAGCCGTGACTCACTCTGGACTGGGGAGGAGGAGTGAGGCTGTGGAGCTTCCTGGAGCTGTGCTGAAGTCCCAGCAGGGATGAGTGCAGCAAATTGGAAATGAGCATTCACACCCTCATGGAATGGGCTCCTGATTTACCACAGAGACCTTTGTGGCAAATTAAATGAGCTAATTAGGAAGCTCATCTAGGAGATTGTCCAATCCTCAGAGCTCCTTCTGTGGGAACTTGGAAAACAGAGCTCCTTGGAGGTGGTGCTGCCCCAAAATCTGCAAAATCCCAGGCAGGGTATCCCCCTCACTGCTCTTGGGTTTTGGAAAGAGCACTGTGGGTCAGGAAATGAGGAACTGTTCCCTGAGTGGAATTTTGGCCCCTAAACCCCTTTTTTTTTGGCAGCTCAGCCCCGATACTGGGAGCAAGGATTACACTCACCCATCCCTGACAGGAGCTACATTTGCAATTAAACAGCAACCTGCACCTCTGCTCTCAGTTTGACCTTTTCTCAATTAAAATCATCACAATGAAGACCTTCCAGCACCTCTGACTGATGCTTCTGGCCTCCTCTTCCAGTGGCTGGTCATTTTTCCCTCAGCTCAATAATTTGCTTTGTTACTCATCATTTTTTAAACATCTCACACACCTTTGATTTTCCTCCCTTGTTCTTTGCCAAACCTTTTGTTCCGGTTGTGAATTGATCAGTGCAATTACTGGGCAGCATTTATCTTCGGGATTAGTTCTGCATCAGTTCCTGATTCAAAGAGTTTGAATGGCCAAAAGCTGAGCTCGGTGTTTTTCTGTTGTCACCTTTTTTTACCAGGGACTTCAGGTTTGTACCCAGCTGGGTCTATGGGTAAAAAATCCTGAGGAAGCAAAACTTGTGATATGAGGTCTCCTTCAATCTCCCAAATCATTTAAAATTGTAACTTTTTTACATTTGGAACAAAAGGGATCAGATTTGAAGCCCTTACCCTCAGAGACACAGAGATAAGATTTTACATCTTCAGGCTGCAATTTTTCCATCAGTAGATGGACTTCCTGATCCTCAGGGAGGCTTTGGATTTTTCTTCCTTCTTCTTGACCTCTAAAGAAGCACTGCAAGGACTTTTGCTCATTTTTCCTGATTACCCAGGGAGAGAGAAGTAATTTATTGGAGTCCACCCCTTCCTGACCTCCTTAACTATGGAAAAAAGTCTCAGGATAACTTTTCTTCCTCCTGTTGTTTTCTTGGCTTTTTACCCCCCTACTTCTCCCTAAAAGGCCCTAGAGAATAAAGATGAAAAGTCTTTGGGAATGTTTCCGGGCAGGGAAAGCCTGAGAATCACAACTTTCTGTGCTTGGAAGATGGCAGGAAGGCAGGTGGTTTCTGAACAAATTGTTTGATTCAGCACTAGCCAGCAAACAGCTAAATGAGTTAACATCTGATTTCACCTACTTGACAAAAAATATAATGAAAGAGCACTACAATGGTTATTAGGCATCAGTAGTGATTGAACTTTATTGGAAAATATCCAGGAACACCTTTTGAGAGAAAACCTGTATTGTGCACTTAACAGGGAAGGTTATGAATGTAAAAGAAAAACACTTTTTGCCTGGGAAATGTTTTACTCTGTTTGTGTTTGTTATGATAAAATTAAATCACGGACTGCAAATCCACAATTTAGGGTAAACCTTCAGCAGCCTTTTTTCAGCTCCTGCATACACAAGATGGGGCCATCACAATATACTGAAAAAGCCCTGCTCAAACTGACAAATAGTTTGTCTTCAAAGCCATTTTTTGATTGCTAAATATTCCTCTAACATATGAACAATAGTTATTTAATAAATAATTTTCACCTCTCACTTCTCTTTTGGTGTTTTTCAAGAATGTGTGTGCAGATATTGATACAGGTAGAAGCCACTGTGGCAGAGTTTTTCTATTGTCCAGGGACAACTGGTTGAAAAATCATAAATATTTCAATTTTATGCTGTGTTCTTGTGGTGGACTCAAAGTTTCCATGGCCAAATGAAATCCTGGGTTAGATGGCCTAGAAGATCAAGTGGCCAGGGAAACTTTAAATCCATCACAGGAACACAGCATAAAATTGAAATATTTATGATTTTTCAACCAGTTCTCCCTGGACAATATAAAAAACTCTGTCATGGTGGCTTCTACCTGTATCAATATCTGCACACACATCCTTGAAAAACACCAAGAGAGAATCGAGAGGTGAAAATTATTTATAACTATTTTCCATGTGTTAGAGGAATATTTAGCAATCAAAAAATGGCTTTGAAGACAAACTGTTTGTCAGTTTGAACAGGTCTTTTCAGTATATTTTGATGGCCCCATCTTGTGTATGCAGGAGCTGATAAAAGCCCATAATCCTGTTCACAAGCACTCCACACTCTGTCTGAGAGTGTTGCTTGGGTTATAGATGCACACTGATGCCTCTACATGGTTTTTTTGGGTTTTTTTTTTTTTGTTTTATTTTTGAAGACTTTTCAGCTTTGCTTTAACAGTATTTTGTTTGACAAGTAATTAATGTCAACCATCATAACTACCAGGCACAAATGCACCAGTGTCATTGCTGTTATTTTGTACTGGTATTATGTGATCATTGTTTTAATTGTTGATTGAGTGCTTCCTAAATTTCATTGTGTGCCAAAAGAAGTTGACACACACACACTCTGCTGTGATTTATGTGCAATGTCATCCCCAAGACAGATTTCTTCTTTGTGCATGTTGAAGCAGCTCTTCAGAAATAAATGAGTTATCACTGAGTTGAGGAGTGAACTCAGTACCTCATCACTGCCACTTTCTCAAGAGAATATTGGCAAAAACCATTCTGGAAGTGCTAAATGGATTTTATGAAAATATGGCATAAATTAAGATTCACATTTCCCTTGTGCTGGAAGCTAAGAGAGAGCAGCACCAGCCTTCAGAAGGAGGCCACTGAGAATGGAACCAGTGGAGGAACAAACACTGAGCTCTTCTTTTTACCTTTTATCCACAAGGAAAAGGGGCACAGCTCTGGGGGAACTGGGTGTTGGGTGTTTGCTTTCCCTCCCAGCTCCTATTGCTGAGATACCAAAGGTTTCAAGATCACTGTAAAGTTCCTGATTGAAGCAACTTCTAGAATATTGGAAAATATAGTCAAGAAATAATCAAGAGAAAATGCACATTTATTTACTCTCTCTACACTGGATTTTGTTTGCAAAGGAACCCCAAATTTCACCTTCAGAGTGCCTCCATCTTAGACCCACATCTCCTTCAAGTCTGAAGGAAAATACAGTCAAGAATGCTGAAGGGACATTCCACTTCCTCAATTACAGCTGTAATTTACTTCTAATTGTTTACCTCCCCAAAATCTATGTTTGGCTCTAGCACAATATACACTCTGTGAAAAAGGAAAAAAAAAAAAAGTGAAGATATTCAAGATATCAGCATTACCTTTGGTACAGAAGTGATGTGCAAATTGTAATCAGGGCCAGCAAACCTGGAAATCATTGGGGGAAGAGAGGCAATTCCTGCAACAAGAATATAAAAGATTAGTTACTCAGTGTCCACCACGGCAGGAACCACAATGGCTAATATTAATAACATTAATTATTAATTAACAATATTAATTATTAATATTGTGAGCAAAACTAAGGCTAATTTTTTGGGCTAACTTGGTCAGATTTTTGTACTGAGGGAGTTTGCAGGGGTGGCTTCTGTGAGGTGACACCAGGAGCTGCCCCAGTGTCAGACAGAGGCAGTTCCAGGTGGGTCCTGCCTGAGCTGTGACATTGGTGGCATCTCTGCCATTACATATTTAAGGAAAGGTTAAAAAAACCCAGCACAGCAGGACCTGGGAAAGGGGAGTGAGAAAGTGTGAGGGAAACAGTCCTGGAGATACCCAGATCAATGGAGAATGGAGGTGATCAGCCAAGGTCAACCCAGAACACAAACAAATATGAAAAAAGCCAATCTAGGACTCTGTGGAATCAATTTGTCCAGATTCACTTAATTTTACTTTTTATAACTGCTGCATTTTATAATACTACATACTCTCAAAATCTTTCCCCTGTAGTTGTTTCTTCACCACTTATTTGTCAGAGAGGAAAGGATGTGTTCCTGGATTATAGACTCTGCACAATAATTTTATGCCATTAACTGTTTGATTAAATGTTTTGAGAATAATGTGGTTATAAATGCAAGTGGAGGGTAACGATTTGGTGGAGATTTACATTTGCTTTTGAAGAGTCTTTGTGCTTAAGGACAAGAATTTATAATGCTAACTTAGTCATTTATCAGTACAATAACAGTTCACTAACTGCCTTTATTCTTTCCTTCTCGTCTTTTATTTTTTTGGGGTTTTTTGGCCTTTTTTGGGTTTGTTTTTTTGGGTTTCTTTTGTTTTTTTCTTTTTTGTGTGCATGTTGGAGTGGTGGATTTTCTTTTCTTTTCATAGGCCAATTGCAAAATATTGCCTAAATTGCTGCTTGTATGAAACTCCAGTCCTCCCACATCTGGACCCAAAAGACAATTGGAAGAACAAAGGCATTTAAAACATTTAAAAAAACAAACCCAGGACTAAATCTAAATTAATTTGCAAAGAACTTGTGTGTTTTCACAATATTTTTGGAGGATCTTCCTCTAAAAAATTAAAAATCTTCCAGACAGGTCGAGGAAAAACACAAGTCCTTCACTAAATATTGTGAAACCTCATAATTTTAATTGCTTGACCTGTTGTCCAAAAGTCCCATGTTGAGAAGCAATTTGACAAGCTGTGACTCACCAGCATACACTCACCTGGGCTTTGCTCTGTGTTCCACAATTCCTCTGGAATGTATCCCAGATTTTCACTGCCACTCCTCTGCCAGTTTTCCAAATCGCCTTCTTTTTTCTTCTCAGCTGAAACTTTTCTAGGAAACAAAACGGTGTCATTAGACATTCTTCATGGTGGAAGAACTCCTGGGCAGCAGACTAGAGACAAAAAAGTAAATGTCTCACATCCCAAAAAATAGGTGTAAAACATATTCCAAGCAATTAGCATGGAAGTGTTGCCCATGGAATTCTGTTTGGAAAGTTTCCATCAGCTGCAATGTCAAAACCATGAAAATAAGGCAATCTTCAAAAAAGTGTGGACCCTGTGCCAGACCATAGGTTTTGCAGAACATTAATTTTGATTTCTGATTCTGAATTGCAGGATATTTAGATGCCCAGTAATGGAACACCAGCCAGATCATCATTTTGGTGCCCAGCTGCAAACCCAAAGCGTGTCCTCTCACATCCCCGCAGTCAGAGATTCATCTGTACACTCTGGAGTTCATCTTTCACTCTGAAAGTTACTTTAAACGTGAGGGAAATTCCTTGGTTAAAGTTACACATCTCCAAATTAGCAGAATGGTGCCCTCACAGCTGCACAGGCAGAGAAAGGTGCTTTTTTCACCCAAAATTCTGATGCTAGAAGAGATGCTACTATTGATCTGTTGCTACCATAGAATCATCTCCAGGACACTCCCAGGTCCATCTCTGCCTAGGTTTGAGGTGTGGCAAACACAAATCCACTATGGAAAACCAGGAATTTTTAGTGGGAAGGGATGTTAGTGACATTTGTGGAAAATGCCCTTGGACAAAAGTTGTAGTGAGGGTTGGGCACTGCTCCCAGGGAACAGGGACAGGACAAGGGGAAATGGCCTCAGGCTGGGCCAGCAGAGGCTCAGCTGGGACAGCAGCAGGAATTTCCCCATGGAAAGGGTGCTCAGGCCTTGGCAGGGGCTGCCCAGGGGGGTTTGGAGTGCCCATCCCTGCCAGGGAAGGCTTGGAGGTGGCACTGAGTGCTCTGGGCTGGGGACAATGTGGGCATGGGGCCCAGCTGGGACTTGATGGCCTTGCAGGTCTTTTCCAACCTCAGTGATTCCATGATTCTGTAATTCTACTTCTTTTATATTTAGTAGGAATCACTTTGCAGGTCCCCAGAGCTTCAGAGGGGTGTTACTAATGCACACACAAATCTGGTGAGTCAGCTCTCAGCTATGGGGCTTTTTTAGGAGATGAACAGGTTGGACACCACTAAGAGCCCTGCCATGGTTGCTAGAAGACAAAAGCATTGTTTAGGGCTGTAACACCCCCACATGTTACATGACACTCTGCTGTCTCTTTTATCTGAGCCTTAGATCTCAGCAAACTCAGTGGAGTAGCCAAATAAAAAGCAGCTACAAAAAAAAATTTAAAAAATTAAAAGGTGTGTGGGAGGTACAGGAAGATAGCCAGCCAAGTTAAAAATAAAAGTGGGAAATAAAACCCAGTGTATGTTTGGTCTCACTACTTCTTTGCTACCACAGCAATGCAGCTTCCAAAATCTGGACAAGTATCATTCTTTTTACTGCAGGGAAGTTCCCCCCAAGATAAAAAATCACTGAGCCTGCAAAATCTTTGATTGTTAATAATCTTTGTGATTTCAGGGTCATTGTTTTTCGAACCTTGAAATCAACACTGAATCTTCAAGTCCAAACTGAGCCTCAGAGCTTGAACTCATCCCAGTTTTTTAACTTTAAAGTATAAGCAAAGTTTGAGAACACAATGAGACAACTCATTTTAATGGAGAAACAGTAACTTTGCAGTACTGAGAGCTAAAAACACATTTCTGCCATGAAAGTGGAATAGTTTCTGCCTAAATCAGGTGCAAAAACATAGAGGGAAAGGATGGTTATGCTATTCTGGACCTGTTCAGCTTGTCTGAAAGAAGCACTGCAGGTCCACAAGAGCAAGGCAGGGTCTGGGAAGGGCACGGACCTGACTGCTCCAGACCTCACTGCTGGGCAGGTCCTTCCCTGCAGGTTCAACTGCTTTTGCCTTCCTTGGGTCGATCCCTGTGGAAGTTTTTGGGATTCCGAACCAAGTCAGAATCCAAGAAATCCCTGCTGATTTAATCCTGCCCTGTTTATCTAGCTGCACTTGGCAAAATGATGAATTTAGCCCCACAAGGTAAGAAATCACACAGAACTTTACACATATGGCATAGCATAATAAGCATCATTTCCTTGGGAGAAAACAGAGGGTATTTAATTTCCTTATTTTGTTTCCTATCAATAACGTGCTCTACAAATGGAAATCTGTCAACAGACCTGCACAAACTTTCCCCACAAGAGGCTGCTAATGAAACTGGGAATTACTGACGTGCCAGCAGCGGGGTGGAACATTCTGCAAACTCATTAAGGGACGGGGACTTAAAACCCCACAAGCGTAAGCAGAGAATGAATTCACAACGCTGCCTACATATAAATAATAATATTAATAACCCCACTGCCATGGCTGTCACAGGTGCTGATAAAAAGGATCTCAGTGCTGAGAGATCCTTATAGTTATTGATTTCCAAAGTTTTCCATCTCAGTGCAATAATGGAACATTAGCTTTGTACTGAAACACATCTGAAAATCACTGAATAAGGTGCTGATACCCATCCACGGGGCAGCTTTATTAATTTTTTGTTGATTTTTTAAATTATTATATATTATATAATTGCATATATAATTGTATATTATAATAGATTGTATGTTACAATATATTATTATATAATTGTATATTAAAATAATTTTTATTATTCTATATTATAGAATTGTATTATAAAATTGTGTTATTACATATTATATAATTGTATGTTATAATGTATTGTATATTATTATATATTATTATATATTATTATATAATTATATATTATTGTAATATTTTATTATTATATATTATATAATTGAATTATAAAATTGTGTTATTATATATTATATAATCATATATTTTTAAACTAAAAATAAACTATACTAACTATAATTTTTATATACTTTTATTTTTATATAATTTTTATAATAATTTATCATTTATAAAATTAATTAATAATTTATAATTTTTATATAATTTTGTAAATTTTATACTAATAAATATTTTTAGACTAATAAAAATTATTGCAATTTTAAGTAAAAACTATATATAGTTTTATAAAACTTATTTTATTAAAAATTACTTAATATATAAATTTTTTATATTTTTAATAAAAAAATATATCTATTTTTTTTTACTAATAAAAAATTATAAACCCAGCTTGGGCTGGAAGAAAACTTAAAGCTCATCCGTGGGCATGGACACCATCCACTATCCCAGGCTGCTCCAAGGAGCGCTCCTAGGGATGGAGAGTCAGTCACATCATCCCGGGACAGCCTGTCCCAGGCAAGAATTTCTGCTTAATAGCGAATCCAAAGCCGCCCTCTGAAGCCTTTTTTACGCGTTTATCCTTTCGGAGCTCGTCCTCCCGCTGCCGGTCCGGCAGTGACATCCTGCGGCGGCCGCGGCAATCGCCCGCCGGGCTCTGCTCCCCATCCATCCTCCCTCCTTCTGGCAGGGGTCAGGAACCCCCCTGGACAGAGCCCCCAGAGACACTGTCTGTGATCTCTGCCCATGGAAAAGAGTTTTCCATCTTACAGGATGAATTACAAACTCTGAGTGTTTGATATCAGTAATAATTAAATGTGGCACGAGTGCAAAAGTAAAATTTTAGGATTCTAGATTAGGGGTTCAGAGGGGACAAGATGCAGGAAATTGGGTGTGTCTTGTCCTTTTTCTCCTTCTTCATGCCCTCCATGTTTCACTGTGGTGTTGGCATTTTTCTGTTGGTTCAGGCTGGGGACACACTGTTCAACGTAGGTGACAGATATTGGCACGTTATTGTAAATCCAGCACAGGTAGTTTCTGGTATTTAATGTTTGTACCATCCCACTGAGGGCAGAGCCCCACACGCTGCCCTGCAGGACAGAGCTGCGGCAGGGCAGCAGAACATGTTAGAGATAAACAGAATAAACAACCTTGAAACCAGCACAGACGAATTATGGCTTCTGCTTTGGCAGCGGGGCTGAAAGACAGAGACTTTCTACAATCTCGGAATCATCAATAGCACAGATTCCAACAGGACTCCTGTTCCTCACTTAAAGAGCATCAAAGAGCAAAACCAGTGAAGAACACACAGCTACTGACCCATCTTCTCTACAGCATACTCATATTTCACTGATTCCTTCATCTTTGCTGTAATCTACAAGGTTAAATGAGGGGATTTAAGGATAATTCAAAGTCTTGCTGAGATCAGTTGATATGGCCAAACAGGGCTCCCATATGTGCAGAATTTTAAAAATATCTTGCATTTAAAATTATAGAATCACGGAATGATTTAGGTTGGAAGGAACCTCAAAGATCATTCAGTTCCCCCTTACTGCCCTGCAGCAAAGAGTCCAGCAAACATAAAAAGTTTTCCATCATCTGACTTACCTTATTTCATTTTGATAAGTAGATCCTAAAAATGAAAAAAAAAAAAAAAGTGTTTAAAATGCAGGAAATGAAAATTTAAAACTACTGTTAAGTTCTCTAAGAGCATGTCCTGAGTTCCAGCTACCACAGGAGCATCTCTCCATCCTGTGTGCAAAATTGGGCAGCCCTGTAGAGCATCTTACATGGAAACTGGAATTAGGCACACAGCACTGAAAATATTGTTCAACAAAGAACCTTCAAATGTCTTTAAAAGTCAAAACTCCCCAAAAAACATGACCCCCAGGAGTTAATGTGAGACACTGACTGGAATAAATTTATGAGAGAAACTTGATAGTGAAATTAAGGAGGATCTTAAACAGATCATGGTTAGGAGCAGGATCTGCCTGCTCAGTCTTCTGCTTACAGGTGCAGCATCAGAGCTGACACAAGTAGATTTATGTCTAATCAAAAACCACTTTTTAATGTTTAGACCAGCTGTGAAGGCCCACTCACCTTTCCTCTTCAGGCAGCAGCGCACAGCAACCACAACAACAACGACCAGCAGAACAATGCCAAGAAATGAAAGCACAACTGCAAGTACAATAACCCACGTGCTCCTGTTGTCTTCACTGTAATAATTTTCTGTTAAATTAAATGGAGAAACATTGGACTGTCAAAGCCTCAAAACATCCTCTTCAGCGTGTTTACCTTTTCAGTGAGATGCTATTAAGTGTTTGGTGAATATTTAACAAGGATTCTGTGTTTTCCAAATGACAGACTCTGTATTTATGGATGGCGCCCAAGAATTTAAAATATTCCTGAATTCAAATCCTTTATTGCAGTTTTAGCTTCTCCCACTGCTACTTCTCTTCTGAAAAGCACAGTGTTGCAACCTTCAAACTTAACTTTATTTTATAATTATGCTGGGCATCCCACAGTCCTCTGGAGACATTTGGGGAAAGGTGTTAAGACTCAGTTTAGGTGTCCATACTGCAGATATTGAGTGTCTTGCTTGGCTGCTCTTGTCAGTGGAGATAAAATAGGTATTTTGGGTTACAATTAATTTGATCAAATGTGTATTATGTGTCCCTTTTAATAAAGTGAACTGCTTTGAAAAAAAAAGTCAATTTCTCCCCATAAATCACAGCAACAGTTGTAGGTGATTAGCACAGTTGGTGATCTCTAACCTAGAAAAATTATTTTCTAATCTATTCTGTCTTGGGATTTCTCTCAATGATTTCAACAAGTGTTGGATTTTGGGGTGTGGTTGGTGGGACTCCTGTTCCCCACTTAAAGAGCATCAAAAAGCAAAACCAGTGAAGAACACACAGCTACTGACCCATCCTCTCTACATCAGTTAAATGTGTCCATGCTCACATTTAACTGATTCCTTCATCTTTGCTGTAATCTACAGGGTTAAATGAGGGGATTTAAGGGTAATTCAATGTCTTGCTGAAATCAGTTGCTATGGCCAAACAGGTCTCCCACGTGTGCAGAATTTTAAAAATATCTTGCATTTAGAATTATAGAGTCATGGAATGATTTGGGTTGGAAGGGACCTCAAAGATCATTCAGTTCCACACCCTGCCACGGGCAGGGACACCTTCCACCATCCCAGGTTGATTCAAGCCCTGGCCTTGGACACTTCCAGGGCTGGGGAATATTTCTCAGGCAGCTGAATGTGCTTGAGGAAGGCCAATTCTGCTTGTCCCATCATCCTGCCCCTTGGTTTTACCAAATATTCCAGAAGCCCCTCCAGTTTGGCTTCCCTTTGGAAAGCAGCCCCAAAACTCTTTTGGCAGTTGTTTAGAAGCAATGTTCCCATCCAAATTACAGGTGTGAGACACGTGCAGATTTGGCACAGTTCTGTCCCATGGGTCTCTGATTGCTTTTTCCTCATTCAAGGTCCCATTTAACAACTCCACGGCCACACTTGGCTCTTGGTCAGCCTCTGGAAAAGGTACCACAGGAATGAGGGTGACTGGGAGCTGCTCAAGGTCAGGGCAATTCCCCTGATGTGGGAATCAGGTTTACCTGTGGCAGGGAATAACCTAAATCCTTTCAATCTACAAATATTCCTGGGTGCGTGTTTGGAGGTTTCAGACTGAAAAGATTCAGTACCAGAGCCTCCTACAAAGCTTGAACCTCTGCCAGGAACCTGCATTCTCCAAAGCTCAGGTCATTATCATTAAGCAATTTGTTCCAGGTCTTCTCTAATCCTAATGCTCAACCAGCATGTTTGGAATTTCTTCTATTAAAAAGAAAAACAAGCACTCAGTAACCTGAAAATTAGCAGTGACTCCTGTAGGCTGCTATCAGTTGATGATAAACTTGTTCATTGTATTTTTTTCTAGAAGTACTGCAACAGATATCTACATTTTAGTACATTTTGTTCCATAGAGATGCCACAGGGATTTCAAGATGACTAAAATATGAATGACATTTATTTAGCTAGAGGGGAAAGCTTAACCCTAGTGAGAAAGGAGGAGCTAAACATGCCTTCACTAGCCCATTCCTGCAGGCTGGCTGCCACACCAAGGTGTTTCACTCCCTGCCAGGATCAGGTTATGTGCCCAGAGATTTATGGAGCTGAAGCCACAAAGTCCAACACAAACACTCCTAGAGCTTCAGCATTTTTGTGTCTCTGCATTCTTGGAGGATGCAGAAAGGAACTGGGTGTGAATGAGGAGCTTATGAACACACAAGCAGGGCTGCAGGGGAAGGGCACGATGGGATCAAAGAGTTAAATGCCTTTGAGTCCCTTAGGAAATCCAATCCAAGTTCCATGAAGTGTTTAGTGTGGACAGAGCCACTTCCTCATTCCACAGGGCCCATCCTCTGCTGCCATCCCAACCTCTGGCTCCTCCCTAAGTTGTCCAAACATTGACTTTGACAAAGTGTCGGCAGAAAATGGGATTTTCCCAGGCAGCTGCTGGTGAGGAATGAGAGACTGCCAAAACCTGCACGTTGCTCCTTGGACACTTTGGAGCTTTCTGATTGAGTTCAAAAGCAAAGGACATCCAGGCTCATGGGAGACTGTCCTCAACTTCTGCAGCTCAAAAGCCACAGGAATTCAACACCAAAGCCGAAGACAGCTTGGACCCAGCTAAGGAACTCCACCATGGATCCCATTCCAAGTGACAGCTCTGTGAATGCATCTCCTGGGATAGCTCTGTAGGAGTTCCCAAATTTCAGATTTCAAATTTCAAATTTCACTCTTCCTACCACTGTAGGAAGAGTGAATGACATAAAAATGCATCACTTTGTATGGAAAGACTGACCCAGAGGTGCAGGAAGGTGGGACATTCCCTCTCCAGGGACTGGTGGCTGAAGAGGGATCAGATTTTCTGTAGTTCTTGTATTGCTTGAGAGGAACAAGGAGGAATTTGAGTCCCCCAGCTTTTAAGTGAGGGGGAAAATTGATATTTCAGTCGTTTTGGAAGGATTTCTTACATGTTTGAAGCTGGTTGTGTTCTTTCCCAACAGCCAGCTACGGCTGAGCCTGTGTATGAAAACTGGGACAAGCTCTTAGATTTTGAGTGTGATATATACATTATATACCTTCCTGTGTCATAAATGCCATGCTTTTGTTTCATTCTGATCATTTAAAGACTTTAAAAGGATAGGTTCTCCTATCCTGTCCAATTTTGAGTGCCTGCTGCTGCTGCACAATGGTATCTCCAAAGAGAAATGAATGATGGCCCCATACAATCACTAATTATACATTAATAGTGCTTCATGACATCTGTTTTTATCCTCTTCTGATTTGCAGGGAGTAGCTATGGAAACATCACAAATGAGTGGGCAGGGGAATTTATTAGCTTCCTCAGGATAGTCCTATTTTGCTTAGTCAGTAATTAAGATCAATGTGACTACAAAAGGCCATATTAGGGATGGTAAAATGACCTTTTCCAACGGCATTACCAAGCAAACACTTCTGAAAAAGGCCTGCAAATAATGATTCATACAGAAAACAAAGGGCATAGCTACTCAATCTTCTCAGCTGTTTATGTGTCAAAATGCCTGTACCAAACCCCTCGTTGATACCCTGTAAAGATGTTTTGTGTGTGCCTTGTTCACCCATTGCAGAAGAAGAATCAGTTCATCAAGAGAAGCTGTCAGCATGATTACCACCTTAGCAAAAATATTTAGAGTTATCAAAGGCCTTGCTAACTGCTCTGGAGAGATTTGCATCCCAGCTTGGATTAAAGCAACTTTGAATTTCTTTAAGTAAAAGCCAGTAAAAGGCAACCTAATCCACTGCCCAAAAAATTCCATATATGTTGGACAGAATTTATGTGCAGAAACTGGGAGGGGTTTTTTCCCAAATCAGGGGTAAAACTGGTATTGGTATTACAGAAAACAATTTCACATGAGGGTTTGGCTTTGTAAGAAATTAACTTAATATGGCTGGCATGCTCTGATCAAGGATATTTAAGATCTACTTGGTCAAGGAGCAAAGGTTGGTTTTCCTAGCAGCGAATCCACAGGAGTCAGGGGCAGATATTTGTCAGAGGCTTTGTCTTGCTCAGTCCTACCTTGGGCTTCATGGTTCATTAGACTGGTAAAAGTACATTTAACCCTACCTATACATCATGCTGTGACTCCTGGCTCTGAATTCCACACCCCAGAGGATTTCATTGGCAAAAAAACAACTTTTGGAAGCAAAACCAACCAGAACAAAATGCACGGCCCTGAGCACAGGTGGTAGAGGATGTGAAAAGCACAACAAACATTCACTTACCCGCGTCAGAGTTGTCAAAAATAAGAGTTACAGTTGCATTCTGAGGGCTGGGGAGTGCTTCTATGTCAGCTAAACAAGCCAAAACCTCAGTGTCCCTCGGAGTCAGAGTTAGGGTGCTCAGGGAATTGTGGAGGCCATGAGATCCTGGACTTTGCTGGGTAACATAGCTGGACTTATCAATCAAAGAGTCATTTGTCATCCAGGTAATGTCTGGAGCCGGGGCCCATCCTAAGGCTTCACAAACAATCTCAATTGTTTGGTTGTCTTTTACTGTTAAGGTGCTATTTTTGATGAGTAAAGATCCATTAACTGTGGGAGGGAAAAGATGTTTTTGTTCCTTCAGAATGTTTCGCTGCATTGCTTTCCTGCTGGTAGTTTTAAATCTTATCTCGCTACCCAGAAATAGCTATGCCTTGAGATATGAAGTGGAAAACAATTATTAATACAGATACACCATATGCATGACGGAAACACGCAGATATTTCAACTACATGGGCCCATTACCAAATATGGCTAAAGCACAAGTCTCAACTTTCAGTACCTTCCCAATAAAAAGAAGGATATTGTGCTTTTTAGCCACCTTGACACATATCCAGCTGGAGGACAACATAGTGAAATAACAGTGTTTCTCTGTAATTTTTAAATATGCTCAGGTCATATAAGAAGAGGTTTACAGGTAGGTGATGAGATGTCATCACTGCACCAAGCCCCTCCTTGACAAATGGACAGTGCCTTGTGGTGAGATCCTGCTTTCCTGGCTGCAGATTGATGAAGAATAAGAGATGGAGCAGGAAAAAAACAGGCAGTTAAAACCTCTGCTATTGGCACTCTGCATGTAACTCTAAAACCCTCTTGGACAGTAAAATTAGAGTGAGGAGGGCAGGAGGCAAAGGATGGTAAATAGGAGCAGGGATAACTTGAGAAATTCCTCAGAAGATTCCCTTAAGTGCAGCACAATAAAATAGCTTTTTGCTGGGGGCTATGATGCCTCAGGTTTGAGCTTTTCTATTTTTATGATTCTGTGCTGCTTTAGTGTGTGGGTCTGGGCTTCACATTATGGGATGCTGAGCTGTGTGCACAGAGCAGGGAGACAAAACAATTCCTGCTCCAGCTGGGCACCAAGGACAAATGATCCAAATCTCAGCCCAGGAGCACAAACACCGTGGGCTGGAGAGAGAAAAACAAGCAGGGTGGGACTGCCTGGGCTAAAGCTGGAATGGGACAATGAACTCCAAGGTGCCAATGGAGCAGAACTGATCCCAGGGAGAGCCCCCGGGAGCGCTCGTGCATTTTGGGGCCATTTTGGGTCATTTGGGTGCAGCCCTGGCTGGGCTCTGGTGCTGCCCAAGGTGGATCCATGGAGGAGATCCTTTAATGAATCCCTGCTTTATTCTGTAGCTCTGTTCTAGGGCAGCCATACACACCTTGAACAGAGAGAAAGGCAAAGTTGTTCTCGCTGGGTTGCTGGATGCTGCACTCGATCCTGCCAGAGTCACTCAGCTGGGTGTTGTGGATGATCAGCTCCGAGGTGAACTCATCCCCATTGGTGTAATTCCTGGAGCTGAAGCGTTCTGTGGTTTCCACAGAGCCCTGGGAGCTGAGGACAGTGAGGACAGGACTGCCCTGGAAGAGCCAGATGAGGATTTTCCATCCTGCAGACACTGTGCAATTGAACCTGGCCTCTGAGCCAGCCAGGACTGTGGCGTTCTCAGGGCCTTTTGTGATGGAGTAACAAAAGCCCAGACCTGTGAAGGAACCAAAATCAGCCCATAAATACATATACAATACCAACAGAGGTGGTTGGATAGTGTAAAACGTATTAACTGGTTCAGAGATGGAGGTGTACAATCTAATCTTTCAGATCCTGCTTAGATTAAGTGATTTTCTTTAAAAATGCCTTTAATTATTTCATCTCTCCTTCTCCCTCTCCAAAGTTACCTGTTTCTCTTCAGTAATTCACTGACTACCATTTTGCTGACAGAAAAAATTCCACTTTTAAGTAGGATAATACATGAGTTGCCTACACTTAGATAATTAAAGGAGCGTGTAACCAATCCCTTTTCCGTATCTTGGATTGCCACTGATTTTTTGCAGCCCCATCATTTATCCTTCAATGCTCTTTCCCCTGTTCCTCAACCATCCATCTCACACATTGTGATGTACTTCTAAAGCCTTCCCCAGGCTTTCTGTTAACCAGAGCTGCTGTAACTCATTAGTTTTAACCCATGAAGGGCAGTGTGAATTCTGGCCAGTATTTTTCAGAGCTGAAAGCTCCTAACAAAGTCATTTTGTTTTCCTTTCCTCCTCGTAGACCCAAGGCCTCCCATTGCCAACTCCACCAATTTCACAGGAATATTTGGAGCCCAAGCATGGACATTTCCCTCCCTGCAAGCCCAACAGTCCAGCCAGGGGGATCTGCCTGAATGTTCCCTCCCTCCCCAGGGAACAATCCTGCTGAGGGAGCACCAGGACTGCCAGTGGTGCCCCAATGCTCCCAGCTGAGCTCTGCACCATGACACCAATTAGACCCTGCAGCCCATGGCAGTCTAATTAAAACAGCAAATTTGGCCTGAGAAGAAGTGTTCAATTATGTTCCAGGAGAAAGGAAGCCTGAAATGGTCATCACTCCCTTGCTAAGAGTGTTCAGGACAATGAAGTCATTTTTAAGGATTTTTGTTCACACCAAGTTTGGGTTTTTTAGGTAGATTATTCATTAATGGATTAGCTATGAATTATTGAAAAAACTTTTTCTTCCAGTCAGCAGCTGATGTGAGAAGGACACGCTGTATTTTTCACATAGCAGAGCTGTTTGGTGTTTGTATAAATGGAACCAGAGCCCAATCTCAGTGAGGACATTGCAACCAGTGCCTCAGTGAGCTGCACCCAGGACTAGGGTCTGGAACCTCACTGCTCCAGTGCCCAGAGCCTTCTGCAGTTCCCAGCCCACATTTAACCACTGCACATCCAGCCAGGAATTGTTCTTTCATATAAAAACTCCTCTCTTCCTCCCACCTGCTGCAAGCATTTACAGAGTTCTTTGTTTTTCAGGACTGTGCAAACCTTGCTCTCCCTGGTTCTGTGTATGGCTAACTCTGAGTTCTGTCATGTTTACAAAAACCTTCACAAAAATTTTCCACCTTCCTGTGTTATGTTACTGCTGCCATGCACTTCAGTCTGCAAAGTATATCTCTGTGTGAGCAACAAAACATTAAACAAAAGCAAACTTTACCTACTCTGATAATTAATAAAGCCAGATAAGATTAAGTAAATCATGATTCTGTTAAAATTAAAATTTACCCGCTTTACCCCTCTTAATACAAACTGTTCTCTATGCACTTGGAATTTATTTCCATGCCTGTGCAAACACTCTACTTTTTCAAGGAGCTGTGGTCTGCCAGGGCTCTGAATAAATGATGCCACTTTCAGGACAATGCTTGCTGTTAATTCATCTATGAAATTTATCCCTAAAGAGGATTCATCAGTGATCATTTGCTCTGAAAATAATTGGCTATGTTGCTTTTGCTTTCTTCAGACATTCAGGGCAGTATAGGCAGGTAGGTATGAGTTAATCATTTATCTGTGATGATTATTTTTTATCAGTCCATAGGTAAGGCAGGATCTACATATTCTTTCACCAGTCATGTCTGCTGGAGCAATAAATGCTCTTTCCCTGATTGCTGCCCCACAAGGAAAGGTCCCTGAGCCCTGCATGGGGATCCTTTGGGAGGCAGAAGGACTGAGGAATGGGACATAACCTCTCCTCCATTTAGATCCCAGCCCCAGCACAACCCATGAAGGAGTTTCACCAGCTTTCTCCACCTGGGGCCTGAATGGTTTTGGTGATTTTACCTTTGCCTCTTTATCTTCTTGCTTTTATTGTTTGTCCTGCACGTGGAGTCCTGAACCAACAGCATGTTCCATTGTCCAACCCGTGCACAAACACTGACAAAGTCACCTGTGTCAGGTCACACAGGACATTCATGGCACAAATGGGATCTAAACCCAGCTACCAACGCCTTAAACCACTGCTGGGAGCCCCTTTGCTGGACCTTGCCTCATGCACTGGGGAGAAAAATGTTAGTGCTGCTTTCATTTGCATCCTGCTTCAAAAATACCTTGCAGATGGTTGCTTTTAAACAAATTAAGGCCTCGGGCTAGATTTTCATTGCACTTTACAGAATTATGTGTTCAGCTCTTAGCAGCTGTTTTAACATCTGCTTCCCCACACAGCAGCAGGGAGACATCCCAGCCAGGCAAAGACCATCCTTGCAGCAGGGAAATGTTGGGCTGGCTCCCTGCTCACCCCTGGGCTTTTGAAAATCAGAGCTGAGTGAGGACACCTTCTTTGAGGCACATCACTAAATGTTTACAGAGCAGTCACCAGGGGTGAAAATTTGCTGCAATTAAGTGTTGATGGTGTCCCAGGTGCTCAGTGCCTCCCAGCAGCACGCAGAGCTCAAACCAACTCCTTTATGAGCTGGTGTTTTCCCTCCTCTGCCACATAAATTCACTGTCACACCGCTGCAGATTGGGAAGAAATGAAAATGCATCTTGTGCAGGATGATGCCTGCAGTGAGGGAACCTCACTTGCCAAAGAGCCACCCTTGATCTTCATCAACAATGTTTTTTCTTCCAGGCCTGAGGGAACCCCAAAGGACCACTCTTGTTTTCAACAGCAAGGGCATTGAGACGTGGCTCCCTTCTCCTCCTTGCTTCCTCTGCTGCCTCTGTCTTTCCTCTTTTCTGAGTGACCTATTTGGATGCAGCACAGGGAAGGACAGGATGGGCTTATCCTTTTGCCATGCTGATTCCTCTTTTTTTTCAGCCTCATTATGGTATTTCAAAATAACCTCCCCCTCTCTACCCATACTGCCCTTCCACAAACACTGCTTTTCATCCTTCAGTTTCTGTATCTAATATCTGTCTTTCTCCCTTCCCTCTCTGCTCTTTCTGTTTGCACTTCTACATCTTCTTTTTCCTTCCAGTCTCTTTGAAATTCCTTTTTCTCTTCACTTTTTCTTCAGTCTCCTGCTCACCCCACCCACCTTGTCTTCTCCCCTCCCCTTCCTCACCACTGGCCCACTGCTCCAGCCACAGCTCTGCTACCAACTGTTAAATACACAACAATAAAGAAAGAAATAAACAGCTCAAGTTTGTCTCAAACCCCAACAGCCCTGCAGCTGAGCTTTTTGAAAGCCAAAGTGGGTTAGAGCTTGTCAAAGCCTGCAGCGAGGGACTGGCTTGTTCGCTTATGTTAACAAGAATTTTTAAATGCTTACAAGGATGTTTCTGTCAAGTAATACCAGACTCCTGGTGCTCAGCAACTCTTATTTCCTCCCACCTGCACACAAACCTCCCCACAGCCCCCAGGCATGTCTTCCTCTCTGCTCTCACTCACTGTTGACAGCAATCCCTGGTAGAACTTCCCAGTGCCCCCCAAAAAAAAGAGATCCAGGGACTTCCTGAGCTTAAAATTGCTTCTACAGCTATGGATATAGCATTTATGATATTTGTTTCTAGGTTTTTTCAGCCTCTTTATAATTTGATATCCCCCACAACCAGTGACCATGAGCTTTACTATTTAATTACATGCTCTGAGAAAATAATAGGCTTTGGTTAGCCTTAAATCTGATACTTTTAGTGGTTGCCACAAATTCTTTTGGTTATGAGAAATTGTGAATAAACATTTCACCATTCACTTCCATATAATAATAATTGTAATGTGTTTTTACTATTTATTCTTCTTCACAAGCAGGAAAAAGATCTCCCAGTCTAATGAAGCCTCCTCATCCTTCCCTCCTAGACAAGAGGGGCTTTGGATACCCCTGGAAGTGTTCAGGGCTGGATGGAGCATTGAGGAACCTGATCTAGTGAAAGGTGTCCCTGCCCACAGCAGGGAAGTTGGAACTGGAAGATTTTTAAGGTCTTCTCCAAGTCAAACCCTCCTATGATTCTTTGATTCTCTACCTTGGAACAGCTCAGTCACACTCTGTAGCTTTCTCAAACCTAACCTGTAATGGAAGGGTTAACAAAACAGCCAATATCTGAGATGAAACCTTTCTGTGGATTTACATCATGCAAGGTTTTATTTTATCTGCCTTGCTGAAGACATTAAATGGTGAGATTTTCTCTCTTTTTCAGCAATTTATTCTCTTTCCACGACATCTATTCTTTTCTCCACTAGACATTGCATTTAAGAGATGCTTTGCATTAAATGCTTTCTCTGCCTCTCTTACTGACTCATCTGATATCACGACATTTTCTGGCAAATCTTCCTAGTCTCCTTTTGGATTTGGCTGCCCTAAGTAATTCTGCATCGCTTGCAAAGTCTGCCACCTCACAGCTCCCTCCTCTTCACCAGGTTGTTTAAGAGCTTGTTGAATACCACACATCCCTGTGCAGCTCCACTGCTCAGAAAACTCAGTGTTTATTCCTTCATTGTGTTTTCTTTCACTATTAATCCATGACAACACCTTTCCCCTCATCCCACTGCAGCTCGTTCCTGTCAGAGCCTGTTAAAACTCCAGCTAGACTATAATTAAAAAAAAAAAAAAAAAATCAGCCTTGTCTCCATTACTAACTAGTGACTTAATATTCACTTTTCCTGTAAAGCTTTTCCACCAAGACACTTTTAATCTGAATTGACTTTGAGACTCAGGCATGTGAAGTGTGAATTGGAGGTAAACCAGCAACGTGAAAATTTGCATTTACTTCTGGAAGTAAAAACCAGCTGCTGATATTGAGTTTTCTACAGATGCACCCTCAAAAGCAGTCCCAAAGAGGAGGAAAATAAGAACAAGGAGAGGGAGGAACAGAAAGAAGGCAGCCCTCCCACCTCCTCCCCACCCTACACACTGCTCAGTCCTTCACACTGGAGCACACTTTAAATCATCAGATTGTTCAGGCTTGAAATACAAACACCCCCCTCTTTCAAACAGCTGAAATAATCCCAATCTGTGGCTGAGTGCTCAGTCTGAACTCATCAGCAAAGGCCATTTCCACCACACTGAAATGAGTGCCCATATTTTGTCCGTTCCTTCCACGGGTTTTGAACGTCTCCTACCTGGCAGCGAGGCAGTCAGGATGAGGGGAAGTAAAATGGATTTCTGGAAGCTCTCCATTGGAGCATTCTCTCCTGGTTCCTGAGGCAGGAAGCCACCAGTGGTCACTGCATGCTTGAGAAGAAGCTGAAGGACAGAACTTCTGCAGAAACTCGGGAATGAGCCTCTGCTTTGGGTCCTGTGACAAGGGTGACTTTGTGTGACCTGTACCACCAACAAGGGGAAAGGATTAAATCAGGGAGGGTTTGGAAGTAGAGCAGAACCTTTCCTCAAATAACTGTTTCAAAAGACACAGAGGAACTTTTTTCAGCAGAGAAACCTCCTCCTGCAGATCTCCCATTCCTCAGCCCCTCCTGCCTGTCACAACATTCCTGCTTCAGCACTGACAGGGCCAGGGCAGCTCCAGCTGCATCATTAAAGTTACTCCTGAGCAACTGGGAAAAATAATTCTCCTGAGCTGCTGCACTTGTAAGGATGAGAAACATCAAATCTCCTCCCAGATGCCCAGACTGAGCCCTCAGAAAGGCTGACAGTGCAAAAAAGGTGCCCAGATTTATTCCTCAGAACCTGAGAGTGCCTCCTGTATCCCACAATAAACCACCAGCAGCTCTCCACTGTGGTCAGACATAATACAGAGATTCTGGATGTGAGACACCACTTTACTTCCACATTGTCTGCTTTTTCAGTGTTTGTGATTCACTTGTGAGATATCACCCTCCTCCCCCTCAAAATATGTGGGAGAGGTTTTGACTGCACTTGGTTTACAAATTCCTCATCTGGGTCAGTGGGGCTTGCCTTTGTGAAAGGGACCAGGCCAGAGGATGTGGTTTTGTGGCCAGACCAAATTTCTTGTCAGGAAAGTGCTTCTGACTCCAGGGGTGCTCTTTGTGGCAGCACTATAAAAATTGTCACCACAGAGCTCCCCTGGGGTTTCTGCTCAGCTGCAGCACCAGGAGGTACCAGAGCTCTGTTCCCTGCCCGGAATCTGGCAGGCTCAGCTGGCATTTTCATCCACATTTTCCCATTTTTCAAGCTTTCAGTTTACCTTGGGAACCTACAGGACAGCCCTGTCAACGTATCAATGATTTCAGCCAAACCTGTGGGCTGGTTTCTTCACCTGCTCGTTTGAAGGTTGGCTTGGGTTTTCCTAGTGCATTTTGAAAGGTTTTGGGTCTTTTTATCTTCATATTTTATGTGTGGATGAGTCCCCAGCAGGAAGTGGGGAGGGAGGGTCACTGTGCCCAGCCTGGAGGGATTTCTCTGTGCTCTGTCACACACAAACCAGTCAGGATTACAGGAGTGGTATCATCTGTCATACCAAGTGAAACAGACCGATTAAAGCACCAGGAAAAAAATCCAAAACACAGGGCTGGGTCCTTTATCCAGGAAGCCGTGACACCAAGCAGGATCTGCAGCCAGAACAGCAGCTTTCATACCTCCCCTGACAGATCCAGCTGCACCAAAGCAATCTGAGCTGGGCAAAGTTTTACATAGTGAAGAATAAAGTGGCAAGAACATCGTGACAAAGCCAGGACAAAAATCAGTAAACAAGTAAATCGGCTTGGGGTGAAATAGAGCGAGGCAGGAAAGGGAGGGATCTATAATATTTTGTTTTTCTTTGTTTCAAAATGGACTTTCAAAGGGCTGGGAAATATTATCTAATCCCCAGCTGAAACAGGATATTTTGGCTGATGATGAATTAAATGCCTGGGTTTGTTTTGGGCTGGTTTTCCCCTCCTCTGCCGGTGTATGGGGTGACTCAGGTTGGCAGTGCTGATCTGAGGCTGCTCCCTCCCTCACCCACGACACAGACAGGGAATAACAACAAAATATGACCCCAATGAATGGCAGCTGGACCCAGAGAGGGGCTCAGATGCTTTGGGCTCCCCACGATGGACACCAGCCCTACACGCCAGGAAGCAGAATAGGAGGCAGAGACACAAACCACTCCTGCCAGCCCAGGAGCAGGAAAAGGGCCAAAAGGGCTGAATTATCCTCCAGCCCCTGGCTGTGTCTGCCGGGAGGCAAATCCAGACTGCCCAAGGGGGTTACCTGGATCACATCCCCGGCGCTGAGCTCTCTCCCACCGCGACAGCTCCAGGCAGGATCCCGGGCCAGCCTCAGCTGCTGCCACAGGACACGTCCCGCAGGAGTTGGGGACACGGCTCCTGAGGGAAGGGAGGCAGCTCCGAGCTGTCCCTGCGCCGCAGGCCGCGCCTGGCACGGTGACACGCAGGGACGGCCGCGGCCTTCCCCCGCCCTGCGCCTGTCAATGTTTAACCGGCCGGGGGAAGTGAGGCATGGCTGGGGACACGGAGCTGGTGACACACAGAGACTGTGACACACGGAGACGGTGACACACGGACATGGTGAGACACGGAGAGGGTGACACACGGAGATGGTGACACACGGAGCTGGTGACACACGGAGATGGTGACACACGGAGACTGTGACACACGGAGATGGTGACACATGGAGACTGTGACACACAGAGACTGTGACACACGGAGACTGTGACACACAGAGATGGTGACAAACGGAGACTGTGACACACGGAGATGGTGACACATGGAGACTGTGACACACAGAGACTGTGACACACGGAGATGGTGACACACAGAGATGGTGACACACGGAGATGGTGACACACGGACACTGTGACACACGGAGACGGTGACACACGGAGACGGTGACACACAGAGATGGTGACACACGGAGATGGTGACACACAGAGACTGCGACACACAGAGACAGTGAGACACGGAGCTGGTGAGACATGGAGCTGGTGACACACGGAGATGGTGACACACGGACACTGTGACACACAGAGATGGTGACACACGGAGATGGTGACACATGGAGACTGTGACACACGGAGATGGTGACACATGGAGACGGTGACACACGGAGATGGTGAGACATGGAGATGGTGAGACACGGACACTGTGACACACGGAGACGGTGACACACGGAGATGGTGACACACGGAGCTGGTGACACATGGAGACAGTGGCACATGGTACCAGTGACACACGGAGCCAGTGATACATGGAGCTGGTGACACACAGAGCCAGTGACACACGGAGCTGGTGACACATGGAGACAGTGGCACATGGTACCAGTGACACACAGAGCCAGTGACACACGGAGCTGGTGACACAGAGCCAGGGACACACGGAGCCAGGGACACACAGAGACTGTAACACACAGAGTCGGTGACACACGGAGCTGGTGATAAACGGAGATGGTGACACATGGAGCCGGTGACACACGGAGACAGTGGCACATGGTACCAGTGACACACAGAGCCAGTGACACATGGAGCTGGTGACACACGGAGATGGTGACACACAGAGCCAGGGACACATGGAGACAGGGACACACCGAGCTAGTGACACACCGAGCAAGGGACACACGGAGCCAGGGACACACGGTGCCGGTGACACACAGAGCTGGTGACACACGGAGATGGTGACACACAGAGCCAGTGACACACGGAGCCAGGGACACATGGAGCTGGTGGCACATGGAACCGGTGACACATGGAGACAGTGACACGTGGAACCAGTGACACACGGAGACAGTGACACACCAAGCTGGTGACACACAGAGCCGGTGACACGGTGCCAGTGACACACAGAGCCAGCGCAGTGCCACGGAGCGCCGGGCTGAGACACGGGCACAGCAGGATGGGACATGGGCACAACAGATGGAGGGGGCTCGGTGCAGCCAGGTGTGGAACCAGCAGGGGAGAGGGAATGTGTCCCCTGTCACAGTGACACAAGTGACAGCCATGGTGCCAGTTTCCCCTGTCACAGTGACACTGGTGAGTGCAATGGTGCAATTTCCCCTGTTACAATGACACAGGTGAGTGTGATGGTGCCAATTTCCCCTGTGATATAACACAGGTGAGTGTGATGGTACCTGGCACTGGTGTCCCCTGTTACAATCGCACAGGTGAGTGTGATGGTGCAATTTCCCCTGTGGTATAACACAGGTGAGTGTGATGGTGCCTGGCACTGGTGTCCCCTGTTACAATCGCACAGGTGAGTGTGATGGTACCAATTTCCCCTGTTACAATGACACAGGTGAGTGAACAGTGCCTGGCACTGATTTCCCTTGTTACAATGACACAGGTGAGTGCGATGAGGGTGGAGCACATCCCACTGGTGAAGTGCCTCAGGCAGCGTGGCAGAGAGCAGAAGTGCCTGTGCCAGCCATGGCCCTGCCAGTGGTCACTGTCACCCCCAGCTGGGGTGCTGAGGTCCACCAGCAGCCCTGGACAGGGTGAGGGGCTGAGCCAGGGCCAGGCAGCATCCTGGGGACCCGGTTTGCAGCTGAAGGAGATGGGGTGGGGCTGGAGGTAAGGCTTTGTAAGAGCTGTGCTGTAAAACTTCTCAGGTAAAACCAAGGTGCCCATCCAAGGACGAGGGCAGGGGTGGATCAGGCGGTGGCACCACTGGGGAGCATCACTGAGTCACAGGATCAATTACGTTGGAAAACACCTCTGAGATCATCAAGTACAACCTTTGACCAAACATCACCTTGTCAAGCCGACCAGAGCACTGAGCGCCACACCCAGTCTTTCCTTAAACGCCTCCAGGGACAGTAACTCCACCTCCCTGGAGGTTCTTTCCAGTGTTTAATCACCCTTTCTGTGATGAAATTCCTCCTGAAGGTCCAGGGAGACTGAGGGGGTTGTGTGTGTGAGATGTTCTTACAGCCTTTGTCTTCCTCCAAGAACTTTATGCCATTGCTGGTCAGTGAGTTGAACTGATCTGAAGATGTCAGGGGATTTTTATGATCAGCTTAAATTGTAAAAAAGGGACATAAAACTTCCCTGAAGTGTGTTTCCTACTAAGCACAGAAACAGTAGCAAGTAGAAATTAATGGCACAGTGACTCAAAATGGAAAGGTTCAGCAAAGGGAAATTAATCGTTCAGTTTGGGGCATTGTGAGAAATTTCTGAAAATATTTTTTTTTTAACTTTGCTTTATTAGAAAAAGTATTGCTCAGACTTGTTAAAAGAAATAGCCATGAAAGCTGCAGGAAGAGTTTTTTTGACTGGTTATAATATTTTGTTACTATTTCTTTGACTTTACAAACCTTCTTTTTTAAAGTCTAAAACGTTGCAGTCTTGTTCCACTGACTTCAATGAGAGTATTCTTGAAATGCCTTCCATACAGGTGTGTCTGAATAAAGCTGGAGCAAGAAAAGGGATAAACAGCATCTAATGAGCACATTCCATCTCTGCTTAACCAAGTAGAAGTGCAGAAGGTTAAAATGAATTTTCAACTTGAATTAATCAAGCTAACGTGATTAATCAAGATAGCTTCATAAAAATGCTTTGGAAAGGATAATTGCTGCTTTTAGAACTTTTACAAAGCTGTCATTTGGCACTGCTGAGATTGTCCTCTCTACACTGAGGGGCATGAACCTCAGAGCAGCTTAAACCTGTCTGAGGAGCAATTAGAGAGATGACAGAGCCAAAATCAGTTGTGTTAGAAAAGACCAGCACGTTCATTGACATTTTATTAATTATTAATTACTGCCCTTGTCAGCTTCTTCCTTCCTTTGGCCTTCCTAATGAGCCACAGTGTTTGGATGAGTGAAACCTTGGGTGAGGATGGCTGGGGTAGGATGTGGTGAAGTATCTGAGTCCCCAGTGTGTGCATGCACAAGGTTACCCACGCTCAGGACGTTCAAAAGACCAGCTCCTAAGTTTGATTTAAATGGAGAAGCATCTTGGTCACTTTGTGAATCACCAGGCAAGTCCTACCTCCCACTCCACTTCCCCTAGATGCTTCTTTCCAATTTTTCCTTTTTCTTCTGCTGGTGAGTGGGAGGATTTTCACCCTTTTTTCCCCTCACCCCCAGCCCTTCCATGTGGGAACCCAGCACATCCCTCTGGCTGCCCTGGCTGTCTCCACACCCTGGCTGGGGGCTCAGAGACCTTGGCATGAAGTCAAAAACAGCTGTGGCTTCGATTTTAGCCTGTGGAAAAAACTGCCAGCTTTGTATGAGGAATTACAAGTCACAAGGGTTTGAGTAGTGTGGTAGTTGAATTAACACAGGGTGAAAAAGTAGAATTTTGGGGCTTTTTAGAGATGGGATCAAGGGGACAAGATGGAGGGATTTGGTCAAGTCCTGACCTTCTTCTCCTTCTTCTTGCCCTCCATGTCTTGCTGTGATGGTGACACTTTTCTGTTGGTTTAAGGTAAAGACACACTGTCTAACATAAATGATTGATATTGGCATGTTATTGTAAACATAGTACATGCCGTTTTTGGAATAAAATTTAAACACCACCCTAGAGAACAGACAGAATGCCATGGCCTCCTTTCTAGACAGAGCTCAGCAGGTCAGAGAGAGAATGTTATAAGTAAGAGAAAATTAACAGCCTTGAGAAGCAAATCCTATGCATTCAAACTCCCTCTTTGGCTGTGCAAGCTGGGAAATGAGAACTTTTACATTCTTGGGGCCACCTTGATGTCCAGACCCCCAAGATTTCCAAACCTATTTCTGGATGGTGTGCACACTGTGAACTCCTAAGCAACCCCCCACATTTTTTGTTCTGGGGTGTGTGAGGCTGGCACATGTGTCTGCACAGCTTGCTGTGAAATCCCACGCAAGGAGCTCCCAGGGAAATGGACTTCCTGGGATTCACTCAGTGAAACCTTCTGTCACTGCCACTGGGGCCACAAGTGTAATTTCTGTTTCCCCTGCAGGAGAATGGGACAAATTGTCATAATGGGAATGGCTTCAGACTGAAAGAGTTGGTTTAGATGGATATTAGGAAGAAATTCTTCCCTGTGAGGGTGGGGAGGCACTGGGACAAGGTGCCCAGAGAAGCGGTGGCTGCCACTGTGTGGGAAATGGATTTGTAGAAAATTCTCAAACACAGAAGGTTCACATAGTATGTATCTGTATGCCAACTTTAAGATAAAAAATACTGACTTAAAAATACCATAGAATAAGACAGGCATTGTTGAGAGAGAAATAGAACTAGAAACAAGTTTCAAAGAATAGCCTTACAAATATGACTAGATACTTTAGAGAAATAGAACTATGAAAGATGCATTGTAGTGGAACCCACGAGGCATAATTTTAATTATTGGCTTTAAGGCATTTAAAGCATGGTGTGGCTAAAGCTGATAGGCCAAGAAACACTTATAGTGCATTGTAATTAAGAAATAGTTAACTTCTGATTGTAATAGTGTAAATTATGACCTCTGTACTGT